CATGCGAAATGAAACTTATCTAACACTTGAATCAAATAATTGAATGTAAATTTAATAATAAGATACATACAGGTGTACAACTATTCACATAATCAATCATTAGACGACGAATTTGTTTAGCTATTTATGGCAGTCATAGCTAACTTACATTTAAGTTCTGTTACATTGAATGTCTTTTCCTTTCAGATGAAAGTTAATCTCATTATTGGATTTATTATAAATAGCTTCAATTATAACTAGACCGCGGATTTTGTGCATTTATAACAATTGAAAATGAGAAGAAGATTAAATGAAATTAAGATTGCCAAAATATTATTTTCAGTCGAAAAATATCGTCGAATAAAATAATAACTTTCTATTTGGTTTCCACGTTTTGCGATTGATGCAAACAATTTTGATTTTCCACGTAGAACCTCGGTCTGTTTATGATGAAATGAAGGATGAAATGAATGATGAAATGAAGCAAATGTAAGAACAAGAAATACCGTGTTTATGGTATAATAAAGCGTTCGAATAACAAGCGTTCGTATAATAAATATAATAAAATGTTCGCACAATGTCATAACCGTGTTCATACAATGGAGCACACGTTTCACTATACCTATATAAATCCTTTTGTAATTTCGCTGATTGTGTTGCAGCGATGTGTCAGTGTCATCGAGCGTGCGAGAGTGGCTCCGTTCGCCCGCGTTCGACGCGCGACAGTGGGAAGACGAAGAGCTTCTGTTGATGCTGCAGACGATGTTCGTCGAGCTCGACCTACCTCAAAAGTTTAACATTCCTTTACCAATCCTGAGGAACTTCCTGTACGAAGTCTACAACAACTATAACGAGGTGCCATTTCACAACTTCAGGCACTGTTTCTGCGTGGCGCAAATGGCAAGTACACATTAGGCACATCATACCTAAATCAAGAACGTGCAAAGTTATCGCCTATGCACGAATCTCCGAAGTCTCCGTTCAATCGTGCAATTTCCGTCTTAATGAACCGACTTTGTCAATATGTTTTACTACGTAAATTGGGAACGACATCTGAAATTATCATTTCTGAGCACCGTTTGCAGTTAAATGTCACTTGAACGTAAGCGTGTGCGCTTGCACAGACAACAATTTGTTCGATAACTGCACGACTCAAGGTTATAATCTTATATATATATTATTATATTATTATTATATATTATATATATTATATATTATTATATATTATTATTATATATATTAATCTAATTTTTAATCACCTAATTTGACTGTTCATGCCCATTATTTTCACTCTTTTTATATTTTTCCATTTCTAGAACATACAAAAATACTTCTTTGTACAAAATGAAAAGAAAATACAATGCAGTGATTCGTTAATTGAGTTTTATTTGTATACTTTTGTCTTGAGAAAATTGTTGCAAACTTTAGAACCTGTTTTAGGTCTTATGTTTAAAAATTTCAATAATATGTGTATATATTATTGAAATTAAAATATATATATTAATTTCAATAACACGGTACGATCGTCCTTGAAACTACCATAGCATTATTGCATAATACTATTATATTGTATAATATAATAGCATTATTTATTGTCAATATTCGTAAAATCTTTTCGAACGAACTTTCGTTTCGATAATGGAACGTCTATTAATGAATTTTGTCGCCTCGTAGATGTACGCGATAGCGTGGGCAGTGGATCTGCCGTCACGGATCGGCAACCTTGAGGTGTTCATACTCATTGTCTCCTGCATCTGCCACGATCTAGATCACCCGGGTTACAACAATATTTATCAAATAAATGCTCGGACCGAGTTGGCACTGCGGTACAACGATATCTCACCGCTGGAAAACCATCATTGCTCCGTGGCCTTTCGCGTTCTGGAGGCACCTGAATGCAACATATTGGCGTCCCTGGATAACGCAACGTATCGAATAGTACGCGAAGGGATCATCAGATGCATCCTTGCAACGGATATGGCTAGGCATAACGAGATTCTCGGGCAATTCACCGATACCATCCCGGAATTCGATTATTCCAGCAAAGCTCATATCAACCTGGTAAGGCGCCATCTCGAAAAGTAGTGTGTCCCCGATACACCTCGGAATAGTTGGAAAAATGATAACTGGAAAACCACAACTTGTGTCCTATTTACATTATATATATAATAAAAAAAATTAATAAATAATTTACATTAACTTATATTATATTATATTTATATATATATTATCAGAAATATTATATTAATATTATAAATATTATATATATATGAATTCTTTCCGTATAATATTTCTGATAATTACATTGTTATTTTTTTGGATTGAGAGTTCCATTGCAATAGGAGTTTACTAAATTTATATGCACTAAATAGTGCAAGATGCCAAACACATTCCGTTCCATCTTTAATCATTTTATAATATCGAAAATAATACAACAGCATTTTTAATTCTTGAAATGTTTCTACTGTATCGCATTCGATCTGCTTATTTATGCATTAAAGCTGCAGTCTAGCGATGATTTTATCAGTGAACATCCTTAAACTATTTGTTCCATGCTGGCAAATTATGAACTATGAATAAATTTCAGAATTAGTATAAATTTATAGTAAAAGTGATTGGTTGGAATACGATACACAATACACATGTGAAAAAGATTCAAGAAGGGTATCACCTTGTCTTGAATATACACTAAGATCATTAAATCGAAGAAGTAGCTGACAATTGGTTACGAAGTACAGCTTCTGACGTTAATTTTCTGTTTCAGTTATCGATGATCCTCATCAAGGTAGCCGACATTAGCAACGAGGCTCGTCCAATGGAAGTCGCGGAGCCGTGGCTGGACATGCTGCTGCAAGAATTCTTCAAGCAGAGCGACGCGGAGAAACTCGAAGGACTTCCGGTCACGCCGTTCATGGATCGCGACAAAGTAACTAAACCTTCGTCGCAAGTTAGCTTCATCGGCTTGGTACTACTTCCTTTGTTCGAGGCCCTTGGGGAATTACTTCCCGAGCTGCAGGTACGTATGTCCGCATTTTCATTACCGAAAGGAAAGAGACCGTTTTCCGTGATACAGAAAAAATTCTACAGTGAGCATTGGGAATGTTCACTTTTCCATTCTATTGGGTTGGCAACTAAGTAATTGCCGATTTCAGTTATAGATGTCTCTCACTCCCATTTTTATGATATCCGTAAATGTTATATTATAAAATTATTATTATTATTATTACGTTATTTTTTTTATTATCTGTGAATGTTAGCAACTGGACAAATTGAATGCAGCGGTCAAGGAAAAGCAACGCATACGTCTTTGTACATTCGGCAAAAATTCATGGAAATTGATGTTACACCCACCATATAGCCCTGATCTCGCGCCATCGAATTACCACTTATTTCGATCCCTGGACAACTTCCTTCGTGGTAAAACTTTGAATGATGATGACGCTGTAAAATCTCACTTAACTCAGTTTTTGGCCGAAAAGGATCAGATTTTCTACGAGCGTGGAATTTTCAAGTTTTCAGAGAGATGGAAAAAAGTCATCGAACAAAATGGAAAATACATTACAGATTAAACTTCGTTCCAAGTAAAAAAGAATTTTTATTTCATTGAACAAATCGGCAATTACTTAGTTGCCAACCCAATAGTATGCTTCACTTTACGATACACCGATTTGCCACGTGTTCATGTTTATTAACGTCACTTCTAATTCTACAAGCATGCATAATTATGTATCAGCATAGTGCATATGAAATGTCGGATTTTCTTTACAAGCGAACGTTTATATGTTTTACGTTTATAACGTTTATTACGTCTATAACGTTTTACGTTATAGATAAGATATCACAACGTAAATTGTATTGATAAAACGCATTAAAATTACGGACAAACAAAGCAATGATTCTTTATTTGAATTTTTTGTTTATTCACTGTGCACAATAACTGAACCTATTTTTCTCTTGGTGCGTTAGTTGCTGAAGACACTAAGTCACCTCTATCATATTTTTAAAGAGGAGGAATGTTTATATGAAATTTTGTTAAAGTAGTCATCTCTAATGTCTGAACTTTTAAGTGATATATTATTATATTAAATATTTTTTATGGAGCATAAAATTTATGAAAGCATTATTTGTCAAGCATTAAATTTTTATCGCGCACATTTATTGAGGCTCGGATCTCAAGGAAAGAGGACAATAATTGAAGCACAGTATTCTGGGAGAAAGAGCACAGCAACTGAGCCACAGTAACTGATTTTTGCTGATAATAGGCACGCAGTAATTGGCTGCAGAATGTCTGTTTTCGTCCTCCTAATATTCAAACGGGATTTAATACTTGTGTGATGGGAATATTTGAGCCGTTTATTTTGAAAGCGGCATAGGTCACTTCACCGTAATGAAAAGTGGTGATTTTTTAACGTTTATACAAAATTATTTATACTGAGAAAAATATCAGTATCCTGTGATAACAAATACAAGCAAATCTTCTCGAAAGTTAGCATCCATATTTTTAAACGTGTTAAAACGCAAACCCTTAAATATATCGACTTCAAAACAAAGTGACTTATGCCACTTTCAAAATAAACGACTCATATATCCACTGAAAAATCCGACATTTCATACGCACCGATCTAATACAAGGGTGCATCAGGGTGCATCGTATCGATTTCAATGATCTTGAAATTTCGCCAAGGTCGTCGATCTCGTGGCGCTCTAAACTATTTCACCGTGTACCTCAGAACACGTCAACAAAGACACAGAGCAAAGTTGTTGAAGACGATGACCTTGACGACGTTCGTCCAAGGTCAGTGAAATCGGCAACACGTGGCTGACGAACAGTTACTGTCATCGCGAGCCAATAAGGTTTCGGAACGGACGCTAACGAGGAGAAACGACTTTGTTACAGAGCCTGATAGTCCAGCCAGCGAGAGAAGCGTTGGAGTACTATCGCAGGCTGAACGAGGCGGCGAAGGACGAGCGGCACCATCGGAAAAGCATAGCAGACCCGGGTGAAACGACGCCGACTGCCACGACACCCGGCGGTGGAACAGGCTCGTCGACGGTGGTGAAGTCGGTGTCGTCTCACAGCATGCGCTCGAAGCGGTCGGTGGGAACGGTACACTCGAGGTCCCGGTCCACCGACGAGGATATCACCGAGAATCTGACGGCGGAGGACGCCGAGAATATCGAGAGCTCCGACCCGGAGACAGCGACGGAGGTAGAGATCAGCGAGCAGACGTTAAAGTTCAAGATCTCGACGGAGGGCACCATGGCGGGCTCGGCAACAGGTAGGAAAAGCTACCCGGGTAGCCGGAAGGGTAGCCGGGAGAAATCTTCACTGGATTATCATAATCACGACCTGGTCAGGGCTGTCAGAGAGCACGAAAGAAGACGGAGTAAAGGAGAGAATCTCGGTAGCAACCTGAGCTCACCGGTGAGCGCGAGATCCGCGGAAGAAACGAGAATCGATGAGGAGCTGAGCAAGGAGGACGAGGTCCAGCTGGACGCGAAGATTAACGACGGAAGGCTGGTCGAGGGGAACGGGAACGTCGCGGTCCAGCCGCAGCGGAACAACTTAAAGAAACCGAGCAGGCCGGCGGAGAACGACCAGGAGGTCAGGTCTAGTCGCAAAGAGGCCCGTAGGGAGTCCATGGTACTGCGTTGTTGCTGCGACGACAAGGCCGGGCCCAACAATCACAAGTCCATCTTCTCCCGACTGAGAAACTTCACGGACAAGTTGAACATCAGCTTCGAATCGCGAGACTCCCTGTCGCCGAAGCCGGCCAAGCACGTCACGAAGGCGCTGAACAAAAGCAACTCCGTGAGCAACGCGCCCGAGCCGACCACCTCGTCCAGGCACGCGAACTCGCTGACGATTTGCAAACGGTGCAACCTGGCGAAACCGCCGGCCAGAGAAGCGAAGGCCATCGCGACGGTGGTCGAGCTGCGATCGGTGGACAAGAGAGCGATGACGCTGCCGAAGGTGAGAAAGTCCGCGGATTGCAAGAACAAGAGCTGGAGGACGGTGTTCGCGAAAGAGAAAAGGTCGTCCACCTCGTTGGAGACGCTGCCGAGCGCGAAGGCGGAGATTTCTATGGCGAAGCACCGGCGGAACTTCTCGAATCCCGAGGGCAAATCGCAGAGCCTGCGGGAGGTGAAAGAGCAGCGGAAGGCGGTGGGCATCGAGTTCGGGGAGATCAACGTGCGCGCGAAGAAGAACCAGAAGCCGGAGATCGTCGTGAAGACTGAACACGGGTCCGAGGAGGAGCTGCAGCGCGACGTCGCCAAGGTTGAGATACGGAGGAGCTCGGCGAGCATGGAGGACATATCGAAGATGGCGAAACAGACTGAGAGCGTGATGCTCGGATCGCTGGAGCCAAAGAAAGCGGAGGAGCGTCCTCTCGCGGGCAGCCTCGACTCGATGCTGCGCAAGGACGTGACCAAGTCCCGGAAAAAGTCGACCTTCTCCTCGCCGGCGGCCACGAAGAAGGCGTCCCCGGGCCTGCTGTCGCGGTTCAAGTCCGGGATGAGCGTGGACAGCACGCGGAGCAACAGCAACAGCGACTCCCTGCACGATCAGAGCTCACAGTCGACGAGCGGTTGGATATCCTCTCTGACGGCGAGCTTCCGGCCGAGAAGGCAGACGACGACAGAGGCGGCCCCGTTGTCCTCGCACCCTCCGCGTTCGCTCAGCCGGGAAGAGATCAAGTGATACGGCCTGGTAGCCGAGGACTCATCCGAGAAACAATTGTCGGGCCTGCACAGGTGGCTGGCTGAGAATTTCTTTTGTTGCAGCGGTTGAACGTTTCGGTTGTCGGTCCTCGATCAGCTACTGTTTATTTCACGCGCGTTATCCGAGGAATGTCAACGATCATATGTTGCCAACGATCGGAGGAGGCAGACGGAGCCAAAGAGAGATCGGGGAGTGATTAAGGACGCCCGGTTCGTCCGGTGTTGTCGGCCGAGATAAGAGTGTCGGGGCCTCGAGGATTCCGTGGTCCACCTGGCCACGTTCGTAAAGCGGATCGACTGCGTTCCAGACGATCTCTGTTAATTTCGGAATTTATTATTTAGTTCGATCTCGCACAGGGTACGCGTTCTTTCGAAGCGGTCTCGACGATGCTTCGCAAATCCCACTCGGGCCGACCCGACCCCGGCTGAGGAAGTCCGTCGAGGATCACGGGTCACCGTGACAATCCTCGTGTCCAGTAAAATCTACATTCCGATAAGAAACACGTCGTCGCGACGGACACTTGGTCACGGATTCTCCAGAATTACCGGCCGTGTTTTTTTTTTACGCCACACTGGGGAATACCTCGATCGCTTTGCGTTTCTTGTCGACTGGACGTCGTTTGATATAGAACACGCGAAGGATTCGGGCGAATCGCTCGATTGCTTTGGCCACGGCGAGAATCGCCTGTAAAATAATAGCAGAGGAAGGGGGACAAAGAGCGAGAAAAAGAAAGTACGTATATCATAGTGCACGTGGATGCGTGAAAGAGACCGAGAGAAAGGAGAGACAAAGAGAGAGAGAGAGAGAGAGAGAGAGAGAGAGAGAGAGAGAGAGAGGAAGCATATTAGCGTGCGTGACTGTGTAGATGTGTGTGGTTGAAAGAGAGATAAAGAGTGAAGTTGGTGGAGCAAAGTAAAATGTTATAAACGAGGATCAAACGCAATTTCAAAAATGTCTTAGTACGTTCGTGTAGTGAGTCGATTAGCTGTTTCCAAATGTAGCCAGAGAAGTGTGTGAATCTTAATTAGCATTTCGTGTCGAAGCCAAACTGTCGAACAGTTGGCAAATACCAAATATATGTATATTGCTCCTAAATATCGATTTCCGTTCTGATAGCATTGATGGGAAATGTCGGCGAGGACTGGAATAGCGTTGTTGTTGGTGACGAGATTTATGCGTCGGATATATGTGCAACAGCGGTGCAAAGGAGCATTGCAAAAATTTGCGGTGCAAAAATGCACTTGACTTGGAAGATGTCAAGGGACAGAGAAGCAGAGAGAGAGAGAGAGAGAGAGAGAGAGAGAGAGAGAGAGAGAGGGAGAGGGAGAGAAAGGGAGAGTGAGAGAGAGAGAGAGAGAGAGAGAAAGAGAAAATGATGCGCGCTATATAAACTATTTTATTTATTGTCCAATTAAAAGAATAGCCTAATCATTAATGTTGTTCGTTATTATACATATATACATAAAGAAGAAGCTATATATAAATATATATGTATATACATATATATTATATATTAACCGATATGCATATATCTATATACATATATATAAAAATATATGCAAGATGCAATGTATACAAAGACGTGAAAAAAAAAGTTATGCAACACTCATCAAAACGGATGCGTACGTATATAAATATATAGACATGTAAGAAAAGAAATATAAAAGAAGATCGATTCTATACGATACAGGAGGAGAGTAAAGCGCTTAGATAGATAGGAAATGGAATGGATTTAGACGGGCACTTTGTGTCCGGTTGTAAACCGAAAACATCTAAAGCAACACACAAAAGAGCAAAAAGTAATGGTGAACAGTACGGGTGAAACTTTTTTCGTACACTCGTGAACAGAGCGAGGAAACACACACACGAATTAACCGTGAGAGAATTACCGACGGAGAACGTACGGAGAACGATTTCGTTGATCTGTCAGAAATTTAGATGCATGTCAAATAAATGGTGTTTACTCGTGATAATGTGTCTTCCTCTGATCGAGAGTTAATTAGTAAATCATGTAACACTTCTAGCGTCGCTAGAACGACGCTGTCTATTAAGAATGTTGCTTATGGCTCTTTCTTAACGGGGTATTCTCAGCTAGAAACGTCATGCGCCACGATCGTTTTATCCTTGGAATTTTGTTCACAACATTTTATCGATATCTATTATCTATTATCATTAAATTATACGTGTATCAATTATGATATATTATCTCTGTATCGTTGAATAATCTGTTGAAATCAAAAGCTCGATCTCTCTTTTTGCAAATATCATTGTACATTTTGTTCTTTGTGTTTATAAATTTCTCGTTGCAATTGAACGCGACGAATTGGATTCAATTTGCGAATCTGGGATGAACATATCAGTGCCAAAAAAAAAAAATGGATACGCGTACGAACCAAAAAGTAATCATCCGTTTTCGTATAAAGCGAATGATAACAGTACGACGATCTGGTTCGCGAGTAAACATTCGTTTACGATGTTCAAATAATTTAGAATATTACGAGTTAATTATACTGGACTGGTGGCATCGGTCAAGCATGACCGAACGTTAGAAAATAACAGGGAATGCCCCCTTAAGTTCCATATCTGCGCTATTTTCCAATGTCTCCCGTCGCGTTGCTCATTTGTTCATCGAAGGACGCTAAATTTTTAATAGATCGACAAATTCGCTCCAAGTCTGAGACACGTGACCACCACCACGTTGCACAGGAGATTTCGACGATCGAGAAACTGAACACGTGCACAAGCCTAACGCGGTCCTCCCACGTGGTTAAACGGAAACCACACGACTAGCTCGTCCACTTGCGCGCCATTTTACGCCATGTGTTTCTCAGTCTTGACAAGAATTAGTTCTCTAACGGCGTCTCGCTTTCATTTATCATTTTTTTAGATGTTTATATTTTTATACTCCAACCGGTGTGTCTGTACGGCGATTAAAAACCGCATGTATTGTTGAACTCTAGTCTTACGTTATTGTCTTCAGCACCCAAAACTCGATTTTTGGGCACTCTTCGGTTTCTACGGCGATCGTAGAGCGGAAAGAATGAACCCCTCCCCCACCCCCAACCCCCCGCACACACTGCGCGAACCGAGCGACCCTCTGCGTTCTGCGTAAACAGTTGTTCGATAATTCCGCTTTGAATCTGCGGGAAGAGATTCGAGCGAATTGTAGAGCGCGAAGCGAACGATTCGAATGTTTTTTTTTTATTCAGCGTACAAGGGGTAGGAAGTAACGAATCGAGGGAACGTCGACAGCGCGAACGATGAAAAGGCAATGGTTAGCGGAAGAGAGAGGCGATTGAAAGTTGGAAATATATCGCTGGGATAATTTTCTTCGACATAGTTATTGATTGTAGCTGAAACGCCGAGAGCAGTGAAATCGTTTCCGAGCGCCTGTGAAAAACGAAACGATCTTAGCCGCGAGATATAATTGTCGACATGTTTATTCGTGAGAAAAAACAGAATTACGGAGAAAACGTTTCTACGTTACTTTTTTCATTCAGTTTTAATTTTTCCTATACAATATTGTAGGCAACTCCGAATAAAGCGTTTGTTGACGAAGCAATTTTATTTACAGTCAGTAAAGCTGCAATGTAAAAGTTTTACATTAGAGAAAGACTCCATGCTACTACCTTAGGTTCAAGTGTGTTCAATAACAATTTGTTCTGCCTGCTCAAAATTAGTCATAATTTATTTTTATCTTTACGTATATCATGTCCGTCTATAATAAAAATGAATGTTTCCAAACTGTTCGTTTATTATGTTCTTCGATGCGACTACTAAGCGATTTGCTGAACTGCGTTACCGAGCTGTGCGTTACACGTTTCATTCATGTACATTTTGTTGTCCGGAACACCGTCGTTCTAGAACAGGGGTGTCAAACTCAAAAGCTAACTTGGGCTATAATAATAAATAAATAATGCTTAACTTTAGGTGGGTCGCAAAAAAAAATCAATGTTCATAGAAACAAATACTTTTATTTTGACTTATTTTGACTTTATATGTAATAAACATATAAAGTTAAATTATTGTTTACGTCCTGATACTTGACATCAAAAATGTTCATTTCGGGCCGCGAGTTTGACACCCCTGTTCTAGAATGACAAATTTTCGATCGTTCACACGAACTTTCCACTTCTTAAAAAAACCTCTTGCGTTACATTTGAAAATATTTGCTGAGTGTTTCGATTCAAGAAGCTTCTCTATCAGACGCGATGCGTCTTCGAGTCACGCAAAGATTCACGCGAAATCACACAACCTCGCAAATCTCTTCCCGCGGCACTAAAGATTTGCGCAAACAATTTTCACCGCAATCCCGTCCCGCATTGGATACGTAATCTCGCCACGCCATCCGTAACAATTAACGAAAGTGAATAAAGTAAGAAAAATGAACCTTCCGTTCGTGGACGATCCACGAAATTCTGAAACGTGTAGAGGATCAAAGAGAGAGAAAGAGAGAGAGAGAGAGACCCGGCGAAATGTGAGCGACTCGACGATGTCTTCGAGCGAGTGAGCTGCGTCGAACCATAACAACGTTGTGTGTGTGTGTATACAAGCTATAATATAAATTATTAAACTTCTGGCGGTACGGAAGGAAAATGTGTTTGATCCTTCTTCGATGGATAGCACGAGAAAAGACGAAACCAATATCGTTTTGAGAACAAAAGACACGGTCCATGCTCTACCAAATCGAGTTAGAATCGATCGTTGATCCCAATCGTTGATCAAACAAATTTTCCGTTCCGCCGCTCGCTGTCTGTGCCTGACCTTTGTCAATATTTATTTGTCTCTTCCTAGACAGTAAAAGCGATTATCCGTCAGATGTATTACTGAGGCGATATTCCTAAATCTTTCGGACCAGCTGTGCCGACAATCGTACTTTCCAATCACCGACATTACACACCGACGTCCGAGCAACACGACGATCGTCATATTCCAGTACGAAGGTTCCAAGGAGCCGCGACCGAAGAGGATACGGAATTCGAGGGTCCATCGATGCGTCGTGGTCGATAAAAAAAGGTCGACGAAAGGCATCGCGTTTCTACTCGTCAATTCGTCGTTCGTCTGCGCCGGGGTACATACAATAGTCCGGGGGCAGTCGCGTCCCAATTATTCTCGTCAATTACGTAAACCGTAATAGATCATCCCCTCTATTCTCCTACGTATTGTTAGAGAACGCGATGGCCGAGAACTCATGGCCGAATTCGTGGACTCGAGAATTCCCCGCGAACTATTCACCTTCGGCCCGAGTTCCTTCCTTTTTATGATCGTCGCTTGTTTCCGGCCTCATCGTCCATTCGATATATCCGCTTTTTTAAAAGGAAATCAGTAAGAAACTAACGACCTACAATTACTGTAATAAGAGGAACAAGTTGTGATTTACAAATCACACGAGCAAACAAAACACAAAACAACTAGTTTACGTATAATGTAGATTTGTCTGGCGGGAAGGATCATGGAACGATGGACGCAGAATGCTTGCTAAGCTCGCGGGCGAGTTACTACCACAAGACATTGTATAGTTATTAGATGCGTGTGAGAAGTGGTCCATAGATGGTCAAGGATGTATGTCAACTGTCGTTCTCGTGTAATCACTAGACTGCGGATCTTTATGGATTTATTGTACAAGAAAATGTGCAAAATACAAAAAAATAAAAATTTGAATTAAATCTATCGTAGTTTGCTGTTACTATTTCCACCTTCGTTCGAATGTGTGCGATGCTCAAGGGAGATCTTGATCGCAGTGTACTACGTTTCCAAGTGTTACCTTCGTGAATTACGTTCGCATAAATATCCACAGTTTGACGTTTTAACCTTTAGCACTCCGAACCATTCTGGACGTAGGCTACCAGCTACTCAGCGCCACTTTTCGGCAGAAACGGGCATTTACAGACCCTCGTATTATTTAGTACGGTTTTCGAACTAACTAACATATTATAATGATATTGGACTTATATCAATTTGGCTGAAATTTATTTTTTATAATTTTGTTATTGTTTGTTTTATAATTTCGTTTTGTTGTTGTAATCGCTATCTACGCGAACTCTTTCTCTCGTCGCCTTGTTGCTTGGACGATATCACTATCACTGCTATCAAAACGATAGACTAACTGTAGAATAAAACCTTCCACAGTTAGTCTTTCTAACATATCTGTATAAACGTCTATCTGGAGCTCATCTTCACTACTACTTGTGTCATGAGACTCATTCGTGTTTGAACGTTTTGCCATTGTTCTAATCAAAAATATGAATAAATACATAGGTTGAAAATTTCTAATTGTTATTACTAACTCACAAGATGATATTTACCAAAAAAACTTTTACCAAACAATTTATTTACCAAGAGAAGAATCACTTTTCCGATTTTCTCACTCGTTAGATCTATCTATACCGCTCGACGCTTCAAACCAGACCGAGTTCAGCTTTGAAAATCTTTTCCTCCAGATTTTATGATTATAAATCTCACTATACAGTGCGTGCTATGTTCGTATACCGACCTTTCTTCTACAAACTTGCCTTATCGCTCTTTTCAAATGGCGCTTTCGAAGTGCTCGGACCGTCGTGAGCACGCCTCTCACGTTCTCGTCAAAACCCGCTGACATTTCTTGTATATATCTTAGTAATTTTACTACATTTTGATTCGATTTCTTGTGCCATTTCAAGAGAAAACTTCAGGGAAACATGCATGTCTGAAAAAGTTGCGCTGAAATAACTCAATTCCCCGTAATCGCTAATAAACTTTAATGTCCCGCGAGAGGGGACATCCGAGTGATATGCTGGATTACGATGTCCCTCGAGAGGGGACAGCGGAATGCAAAGGGTTAATTCCTACGAAGATCGAAATATGAGATCGTCATGATACTGGATATATTTTGCTGTACATTGTCAAGAGATTACATTGACGATGCTTGATTTTGGCTGAATATTATGTATAGTAATGTCTCTCTAATTAACGCTCACATTGTCCACAAAAATGGACAATTTGGGAAGAGGAGATACGATTATTCGAGGCTTGCGGTTCGCTTTTTATAGTTCCGAATTGTCAAGAATTATAAAAAGGAGCTGTGAGATACGATTAATCGTATCTCCTGTTCCCAAATTGTCTATTTTTGTGCACAATTCGGGCGACATTACTGTACTTAGTTTAATCGGTTTCTGTATGAAGATCAGGACTTAGTAGAAGAAAGTGTCGTCAAATCGTTATCACATACAGTCTCAAAAACTTTACTTAATTCGCAATAGTCTTTGATTAGTAACTGCATCTGGTTATATACATATTTAACTAGGCTCTGTCGTGATTTTCCGAACATTCAAGTACAGTCCCGTCAGCGATGCCGTAATAGACGCTTTTGGGTTCAGCACCACCGGCACCGGCGTTTTCTCGCAAGGCAACACCTCGTATTTGCTTAGCATCCGAACAATGCCCAGTTTTGTTTGCATAAGACCCATTCGAAGCCCTGAAACAAATGATACAGTGCAATCAATGATACAGATGCACCATTCTAATTTCGACTAGAATCGTTTGAGTTTCCATAGCCATGTAAAGTGGGCAATAAATTGACAATTGCATTGGCCAATTCATTGTGCCAATTCAAGTTCTAGCAGCGAAGATTTGGTGTTATACTAACCGATGCAAGCACGTGGTCCCTCGCCGAAAGGGAAGTACGTTAATGATGGCCGGTTCTTTTTGTTCTCCTCGCTGAATCGCATGGGATCGAATTTTTCCGGATCAGGATAGTACTCCGGGTCATAGTGCATTCCGTACAAAGAGATGTACACCGGAGTACCTTTCTCCAGTACTAAATCGGAATTACGAACTTTGTAGTCGGTGGCTGCGACGCGTTCTAGAAATCCTAATGTCGGNTACTAAATCGGAATTACGAACTTTGTAGTCGGTGGCTGCGACGCGTTCTAGAAATCCTAATGTCGGATACTTGCGGAGAACTTCCGAGACAACCATATCAAGATACGGCAATGTCATGATCTACAAATAAAATGCATTCACGTGTATGTTAGTCTCGATTTAAGATAAGATTGTTCAAGAAATATTTGAGCCGTTTATTTTGAAAATGGCCCAAGTCCATTTGTTGATTATTTCCGGTTGCCCGTGGTTACATGTACAACTTAAAGTTATCTATGAATAAAGCATTCGAGGTTACTTATATTCCGAGTAAATACGATAATATTGGACACACATAAGTTTTCAGTGTTAGTTCAATAATCGAGCCGTTTATTTTGAAAAAAAAAGAAAAAAAGTGGCCTAAGTCCATTTATACTTAAATTGAGATATTTATTATTGATAACGTCCGAAGGCAGTGATGATGGTAATTTTAATTAATTAGTATTTAACAAGTTAACCTCAGTTTTTGGACAATTGCTTTATTTGAATAATCAGTAAATTTAATCGATGCGGTTAAAAAGAATTTACGCAATATACATACTTACAGTTAAATATAAAACTTAAAATTTAATATATTGAATTTTAGAAATTATTTCACCCATGGGGAAGAACAAAACTACAAGATCTTATAGTTCAGATAGTGAAGAAGAATTAGTAACTAATGATTTCAAAGAAAATCGAGAAAGAAAGAGGATTATAGAACAATATTCGTCGTCAGGGGATGAAGATACAGATAACAATGGAGAAAAGATTGATGAAATACGCATCCAAAAAGTGCGAAAGATTGAACGAAATTCAAGAAGAAGATATCGTACTCGAACCGGAAATATTGTATCTTTAAAAGTTTTCCAAAACAAAATGTAGATGAGCAGTAAATTGTTTTGTAATTTATGTAGTTACAAGATGTTTTGATGCGCAAAAATTATGTTTTCGAAGTGTTGCAAAGATATGTANTCTGAAAAAGTTGCGCTGAAATAACTCAATTCCCCGTAATCGCTAATAAACTTTAATGTCCCGCGAGAGGGGACATCCGAGTGATATGCTGGATTACGATGTCCCTCGAGAGGGGACAGCGGAATGCAAAGGGTTAATTCCTACGAAGATCGAAATATGAGATCGTCATGATACTGGATATATTTTGCTGTACATTGTCAAGAGATTACATTGACGATGCTTGATTTTGGCTGAATATTATGTATAGTAATGTCTCTCTAATTAACGCTCACATTGTCCACAAAAATGGACAATTTGGGAAGAGGAGATACGATTATTCGAGGCTTGCGGTTCGCTTTTTATAGTTCCGAATTGTCAAGAATTATAAAAAGGAGNGATACGATTATTCGAGGCTTGCGGTTCGCTTTTTATAGTTCCGAATTGTCAAGAATTATAAAAAGGAGCTGTGAGATACGATTAATCGTATCTCCTGTTCCCAAATTGTCTATTTTTGTGCACAATTCGGGCGACATTACTGTACTTAGTTTAATCGGTTTCTGTATGAAGATCAGGACTTAGTAGAAGAAAGTGTCGTCAAATCGTTATCACATACAGTCTCAAAAACTTTACTTAATTCGCAATAGTCTTTGATTAGTAACTGCATCTGGTTATATACATATTTAACTAGGCTCTGTCGTGATTTTCCGAACATTCAAGTACAGTCCCGTCAGCGATGCCGTAATAGACGCTTTTGGGTTCAGCACCACCGGCACCGGCGTTTTCTCGCAAGGCAACACCTCGTATTTGCTTAGCATCCGAACAATGCCCAGTTTTGTTTGCATAAGACCCATTCGAAGCCCTGAAACAAATGATACAGTGCAATCAATGATACAGATGCACCATTCTAATTTCGACTAGAATCGTTTGAGTTTCCATAGCCATGTAAAGTGGGCAATAAATTGACAATTGCATTGGCCAATTCATTGTGCCAATTCAAGTTCTAGCAGCGAAGATTTGGTGTTATACTAACCGATGCAAGCACGTGGTCCCTCGCCGAAAGGGAAGTACGTTAATGATGGCCGGTTCTTTTTGTTCTCCTCGCTGAATCGCATGGGATCGAATTTTTCCGGATCAGGATAGTACTCCGGGTCATAGTGCATTCCGTACAAAGAGATGTACACCGGAGTACCTTTCTCCAGTACTAAATCGGAATTACGAACTTTGTAGTCGGTGGCTGCGACGCGTTCTAGAAATCCTAATGTCGGATACTTGCGGAGAACTTCCGAGACAACCATATCAAGATACGGCAATGTCATGATCTACAAATAAAATGCATTCACGTGTATGTTAGTCTCGATTTAAGATAAGATTGTTCAAGAAATATTTGAGCCGTTTATTTTGAAAATGGCCCAAGTCCATTTGTTGATTATTTCCGGTTGCCCGTGGTTACATGTACAACTTAAAGTTATCTATGAATAAAGCATTCGAGGTTACTTATATTCCGAGTAAATACGATAATATTGGACACACATAAGTTTTCAGTGTTAGTTCAATAATCGAGCCGTTTATTTTGAAAAAAAAAGAAAAAAAGTGGCCTAAGTCCATTTATACTTAAATTGAGATATTTATTATTGATAACGTCCGAAGGCAGTGATGATGGTAATTTTAATTAATTAGTATTTAACAAGTTAACCTCAGTTTTTGGACAATTGCTTTATTTGAATAATCAGTAAATTTAATCGATGCGGTTAAAAAGAATTTACGCAATATACATACTTACAGTTAAATATAAAACTTAAAATTTAATATATTGAATTTTAGAAATTATTTCACCCATGGGGAAGAACAAAACTACAAGATCTTATAGTTCAGATAGTGAAGAAGAATTAGTAACTAATGATTTCAAAGAAAATCGAGAAAGAAAGAGGATTATAGAACAATATTCGTCGTCAGGGGATGAAGATACAGATAACAATGGAGAAAAGATTGATGAAATACGCATCCAAAAAGTGCGAAAGATTGAACGAAATTCAAGAAGAAGATATCGTACTCGAACCGGAAATATTGTATCTTTAAAAGTTTTCCAAAACAAAATGTAGATGAGCAGTAAATTGTTTTGTAATTTATGTAGTTACAAGATGTTTTGATGCGCAAAAATTATGTTTTCGAAGTGTTGCAAAGATATGTAAAATAAATTGAGTATTGTTTGTTTTCAATTTGAAGCATCCTAAATTATATTGAATGGACTTGGGCTCCTTCAAATTTTATAACGAATCCAGTTGTTAATTTTGAAACTGGCCTAACTCCATTTTTGGTAAGAAAACGCATATTATTTACAACACAAACCTTTAAATATCTCAACTTAAGTATAAATGGACTTAGGCCACTTTTGTTCAAAATAAACAGCTCATTTATGGAAAACCTTTCTTATCTAAATGGTAGAAGAATACGTGTTTG